TTTTTTTCCTAAGACATTCCTTATATATATATATATATATGTTGCATAGGTTATATATATATGTATCAGTGAATTTTTTTCCTAAGACATTCCTGATTGTTTTTCTAAGACATCTTTTTTTTTTTTTACTTTTGAAGTTTTAGTACATCAACAATCAGATTGATATCAGACACGAAGTAGGAATCTGTGCCAAACCCACTCTACACCACCACCTCTATGGTTTCCTTTAATTAGTACAGTTCGTCCAACCCATAAGTTTTAGCCCCAAGCATCTAGCAAGCTGTGTAACTGGATCGAGGAGTGCTTACTTCCTTGAGCTGAATCAAAACCGTTCTTCCATCTGTGGGACTCCATATCCTTGCAGCAGCCGCCGCAAGGACAGAGGACAGGGAGCGTCTGTCCTCAGCTCTATGTGTCCCTCTTCTGCCAGAACCGTTGAGAATGCTATCCAGGTGTATATTTTTGATGCTTTTACTCATTTCCCAGATTAAAGGTATGTCTTGTTCTTCTATCAGGATTTTCCTATTATAGTATAACATGAACTACGTAGAAATTGGAGATTTTTGTTGAGGACATAGTGTAGTGTTTGGTCTAGGTTATGGCTAATTAGGAAGGTTGGATAATTTCGTGAAATTCCCTCTCACTCTAAAACCCCTCGGCCCACAGTGATGAGGAGGAGGAAGCCGGTGCTTCCAGAATGCCTACATTATGGCAGGCTCTGTGGTGCCTGGTAGGCACATTTTGGGCTGGAGTGTTTACAATCCCAAATTATCATCTCCATTTTACAGATAGGAAAATGAGAGCAGCAGCACCAGGTCAGAGATGACCTATGCTTCTCATGGTCACACACGTAATCAGAAAACTCTGATTCAAATCCAAGAACATTCTAGAAAGTCTATCTTCTCCTTTCCTCTTTATTGTTTTTTAAGGTTGGGGAATCACTTCACCAGTTGTCTTCCAATATGATAGAACAGGCACTGAAGATCGTGTTTAGCAATAGCCTGGGTCTGCCTAAAACACTCTTACACATGAAAGGCGTATGCTCAACTAAGGGACTAAGAACTTCAAGTGATAATGTTCCTGGAGGATAAAATTCAGCAATTTTTGTTGAAACAGGCCACTGTGGCCCAAGCTTTGTCAGGAGAAGGTCTCCAGACTGGCATAAGGATGGAAAAAAAGACAACAATAGAACAAGGTGAAAACATGGAAGATGACAGGAACATGCACGTCTTTATCTCTTCTCCAAAGTGGTTTATGATTTCCTAACTGCTAAGTCTCCTCAATCGCCTTTTCTGGGGAGTGGAGAAGAGGCGCAGATAGAGCTGCAAGTGGAGGCAGGGGAACTGTGTGCGAAGAGTTCTGTACTCCCGTGACTGTGGATGCCTTTTAACCAGGATTCCCCTGTGTTTCCTTTCAGAAAACACAGCCTTTGGAGCAGATGGCCTAGAGCTGGTTCATGCTAAAAAGCTTCCTCTGGTTCACAAGCGAGATCTTGAACACACCCACGACTCGGACATACCGGTATAACTTTCCTCTTAGTAGATAAGATTTACTGCACCCACACATACACAAAGCTGCCTCTGGCCTCCTCACATACACACACAAACACACACACACACACACACACACACACACACACACACACACAGGAAAGAGGCTGCTCTATCTTCAGAAGACTTCTGCCTTCTTAAAGCAAGTGGACAGGGAGAATCACCTGTCCATGGTTTGAAAGCAAGGCTCAATTTTTGGGGGCACCACTTCCTGTTTCTTGGTTAGGGGAATATTACCTGCAGCTTTCCTGGCTGAGTTAAAGCATCCACATTCGTTCTATGCTGGTGCCCTGGAACACAATCTCCAGCATTGAATTTGCTTTTCCAGAGACCTGGCATGTAGGTTGCATAGAGAGTTTTGCAAAGTGGAAAAACATTCTCAGCAACAAAGACTCCTGCTTGGGCTGTCACAAACAAGAGTGTTCATTTAGGTGCTCAAGTCTTAGAACATTCAACATTGTTTTCAAAAGTGATGGGATAGTTAGATGAATTCCAAGGTATTCCATTTCCCTCGGTGCTATTATAAAAGGTATTGTTTCTATAATTTCCCTCTCAGTGTGTTTGTTGTCTGTGTAGAGGAACACTATTGACTTTGTTTGACATGCAGACAGATAGTGAGGTTAAGCTTAACAGCCTAAGTTGTATGGTAATAACAATAAGCTTGTCTTCTGGATGGTCAACAACCTAAGTTTGCAGACCAAAATTAGAGAAAAAGGAGGGCTGCAAGGAAAGCCAACATTTTGGCTCTAGCCTTCCAAGGTCAGTTAAGACTCAGGACATATGAGAACTTGTACTGTAACGTCATGTAACTCGGTAGTGTCCCAAATTTTCTGATCAAGGAGATTATGGGGCCAAAGAGGAAAGTGATCGACGATGCCTAAGGAGAGTCACATGGAGAGAAAACATTCTCTCAGGCTTTCACAGAAAGCACATAGGCCAAGCAATGGCCGTGATTCATCCACTTGGCTGACACTGACAAACAATCTGAGGTATAGGATCTCAAGATAAATCCTGAGGGGATTTCACTGACCTTATCAGACTCAAAGCTACAACTCTTGTTGCATAGGTCCTGCTTTACCTTGGTCTTAACCACCCAGCAGAAAAGTATAAAAATGAAATATAAGAAGTAAAGCCATGCTGTTATGTTGAGCTATAGGGGACTCAGGTCAACAATTTCTGACATTGCCAGTGCAGCAGAAGACCCAATACTATTATGGACTAATGAACTCTTTTGGATTATTTTGCTGATTTAACACACCTATAATATTCAAATAACAGAACTTAACAAAAAAAAGGGTATACAGATGAATGCCCATTTTGTATCTGTGTATTCAAGGTGGTTGGGATAGATATATAGTTACATTCTCTTAATGAATAGAGTGATTTGTTCTAATGGTGTTTGTAGATAGGATATCATGTCTGCATCTTGTCTAGCAATTAACCACTGGGAGGAATGTATGCAATGTGTTAATTATTGAAACTGTCCTACCAGTTCGATTTGAAACTGTCTCATTGCTATTTGTTTATCAATAAAATTATGGGGGAAAAAAGTGATGGGATAGTTCTGATAGAAACAGATAAAGTTGGGCCGGCCAAATAGTTCAGCAAATTAAAGCACCTGCAAGCAGGTGCAGGGGCTGGGGGTTCAATCCCCAGGCCTGTCATGCCAGCCCCGCCCCTGGGGCGCTCTGAGATGGCAGTTGAGACTGGGCATGGTGGTGCACGCCTGTAATCCCAGGTCTTGGGAGGCTATAAACAGGTGGATCACTAAGAGTCCGATCTACTAGTGAGACCCTGAACACCCTGTAGACCCTTCCCTAAAATACAAAAAGCAAAAAGAAAACAAATAATGGAGTTAAAGGGAGCAAGTTTCCAAGTTATTTTCCATTCTCACTGTCATAAAACATGTCAGGTGAATGATTTTAGATATTTATCATTAGTCATTTGCATTTTAGAGCTGAGGATTTAAATCTGACATATAGAAAATACTGCCAGGCAGTTTGTCAATTGCTATAGAGAACAAATCTTTCCCAAGGCATCCCCACTTTATTGGATAGTTTTCCAGGATCTCATTGGCTCCCTTTCTTGGTCATAGGAAGCTATACCTCACTTTTCTGAGTGTTCCTGTTGATCCTGCTTTCTCCCGGGTATTGAGGCCATATAAAGGCAGCGCTCCTTCCCATCCCATCAGAAAGTCATGTCTCATTTTTCTCCAATAATTTTTCTTATCAATTCTTTTTCTCTTAATCTGAAGCTCTTTTCTCACTTTCTCAAAATTTTTTGTATTGTTGAAGTTTGGCCCCCAACATGGGACAGAATTAGCTTTGTGCCACCCACAGTGCAGAAATTGTTCAGTTGAACTTATTCAGTCCTGATTTTTCCAGTTCCCTTATGAACACACACGGCGGGCCTGAATGGAGGCGAAAATTCACAGGCTGAGCCTCGAGATTCGTGCACTGCTTCCCAGTTGCAAGCAAACCAAATCCCAAAAGCACATGGGCAGGACATGACAGAAAAACCTCAAGAGCCAAACGAAAGAGCTCCCAGGGGCCAAAGCTGGGACAATCTGAGTAGCAAAATAAGTAATGGAGCCTTATACTATAACACACAGTGACGATCCATGAGCCCATACTGATATAAATAAATGAGTATCTGAGTGATTGTGACAGAACAGACATATTTTTGATACAAAAGTTCGAATAATTTATGTAGATACCCCATTCTTCAGGAGCTAAAGTACAAATCTGCATGATGTGGGCCATGCTTTATGATTGTCTTTCAAAGAGTATGACTTAGAAGGAGGGAAAAGGATAACTCCACAGAGGACATTGCTGGCAAATGCCACCTCAGTGGAGTGAAAATGTCATCAGGGAGGTCTTGTGTATAGTACGTTCTGCATATAAACTCAGAAAATCGCACTTCATTTTGTGGTTTCCATCATACAAATTCATAACTGCAAACTAACCACCAGGAAAACATCTAACTTGGAACAGCTCACACAGGTCACTTGAAAAATGAGCACACTTAAAGATGTCAAGGTCATCCAAAGTAAGGAAGGCCAAGAAAGTGTGGCCGGTTCAAGCAGATTAAGGAAACAAGACGGGCAATTATAATGTGGTGTTCGGAGTGAGATGCTGAGGGAATAATAGGACATCAGGTAAAAATCAATGTAATCTGAATCAAGGTGCGTCAGTCCTGATTCTTTAGCTACAGCGAGAGTGCCGTAGCTGTACATGCTTCTCAGCAGTAGAGAAACCTGGGGGCAGTGTGTGTGACCGCAGTGCTCTTTCCAAGCATTCTACAAGTCTAGGACAATTCTAAAATTACATAAAATTAAGTTTACTAAAAGATTATAGAGTCTAAGGGCCAGGCAAATAACTCAGCAGACTACAGTGCCTGCAAGCAGGCGCAGGGGCTGGGGGTTCAATCCCTGGGCCTGCCGTGCAGGCTCCACCCCTGGGGAGCACTGAGACTGCAATTGAGACTAGGCGTGGTGTCATTGTGAGTCTGATTTATCAATGAGACCCTCAACACCCTGTAGCTCTTTCCCTAAAATACAGAAAAAAAAAAGAAAGAAAAAAAAAAACAGATTATAGAGTCTAGCTTGTAAATATCTTCTGAAATTACCTACTCCTTTTTATTCCCCACTGGAATCGCCTTCATTCTTTCAAAAACCTGCAGGTGGCTTGCCCATCCGTAGTACTGGGTTCTGCGGAACTACGAAGCAGAATAAGTAAGCTGTCACCCATGACGCTTTCTGCACATTTCTGCCTAAAACCTTTGCTGCTTTTAGGTCTTAGGAGGTGTATATCCTTTACTAATGAAGCCATGCACTGTTGAGTTCTTTTCTACAGCTTTTCTTCTCATTTGTATTCAACTTATGCTGGACTTCTCAGGAATACTCAATTTGTCTTGGTTTCTCAAACAGGCTGAACTGTTTCCCGCCTCAGGGCTTTCACACGTGCTGTTACCCGCCTGTGTCTGATTCCTTCTTTATTGCTGGCCGAGTACTCGCATGTCTTGCATTGCGATACCTATCATATCCAATTAATTGCTTGTTTATTTTTCTTCTCTACAAATCTTCTCTACTGGTTGGAACTTCTTTTGACCAAGGGCCTCCATCATATGCTCTGTTCTATTTTTGTTTTCACTGTACTAGAGGTAACAACTGTTAAATAAGATATCACAGCTGTTAAATAAAAGGACAATGAACTAAAAAATATGCAAGATGCATGATCAACAGCTATGAATATTAAATTAGAAAGATTTCTTAGAGATCATAGTATAATAAAATATCACAAAGGAAAGTGCTAAAACCACATTAATCAGAAATTTGAAGACAAACCATGCATAATGAACTGCACCAATAAAAAGTATCAGGGGCCAGGGAGATGGCTCAGTGGAATAAGTGCTTCCTTGGCAAACACAAAGGTCTGAGTTCAATCCCCAGTTCTGCCAAAAAAAAAAAAAAAAGTATCAGTGCTAAGTGTTTGCAAGAAAATGTATCATACTAAGCTATCATTTCATTGTTTCAAAGTCTTTTATTAATGACAATATTGGTTACTGGTGAGGTTATGTAGCTTGCCAATAGCAGATATTGCAGCTAGTAATACACAAATTGGAATTGCTCTAAATTTCTGGGGAAGCTCTAAGTTTGTCTTTTCTTTCTTCAGGATAGTTCAACAGTATTTATTGAAAGCCTTACATTTTTTTTTCCCATGTTGTTCACAATGCAACTCTAGCTTCAGTTCACCCGAACTAAATTTCTGATAAGTAAATAAAGTTCTATAACTAAATAAAGTAATATAACTATATAAGTAAATAAGTAATATAAGTAAATAAAGTAATATAACTATATAAATAAAGTTCTGTTCACATTGGGCTTTATAATCCTAAAACATACTCCATGAAAAAAAATTATAAAAATAGAAAATGGGCATGATTTTCTGAGTGAAATTGTAGTCTAATAACAGTATATATGGAATTGTTAAAAGTTCATATAAAGAAGTCCTATGTTTGTGGGGAGTTGTGCATATATAGAGTCATTTGCATATTCCTGGATGAGGTACAATATGCACTTTCCATTTTATTTTATTTTTACTAGAAAAAAAGTTCTCTGAAAATTTTAATTAAAAAATAACTTGAGTAAAATCTTCCTTATAAATCTAGATCTCTTTATACTCAGCTTTGTCTGGATTTATTCTGTGAGAGGACTGCTCGGAAACTGTGGGGTTGGACACCAGCCCCTGACTTCTGCTCTGCTGGACCTCTCAGCCTGCACTAACCAAGTGTGTACAGAAGTCACACGTGGGGTCTTGTCTTTCAGGAAGCTTATGAAGAAGAAGTGTTGTACGAAGTGAAACTAAGTAGACAAACTGTAATCCTCCACCTTCTGAAATCCAGGTAGGTTCTATTGCGATTTATCATCTTATAGATTTAGCTTATGGTAGCCCATGTTTTTGTTAAAAACTACCAGCAAAGTGAATTTCTAAAGTCATTGGAATAGTGTGTGGATTCTTTCTCTTCAAATATAAGCTCATCATACCTAAAATAGTTTAAAAACTATAGAGACAGTTCTCTAGTCCTTGTTGATCCTTTAAATAATCACTCTGAAAAGAAGGTTGATATGTTAGTGATTTTTGAACCAACTGAACAGAAGAAAAAAATTAAATATGGTGTTTAAACTGACTTTTAGTTATAGAAGGTAGATACCAAGCCAAGTTCTTTCAGAGAACGAGGTAAGGACTGGGGAGAACTTACTACATTGTGATGTTGTGTGCAGTCGGATCTTCCAAATACCTTAGTCCTCATTGTTGCTGTTAATTTCCAGCAGATACATGCAACAGTTCTATCAGAGCCCCAAACCCTACAAATATACAAAGTTTTTGATGCTAAGTAAAATAGAAGAGTGAAACTTGTGGAATTAAGATTCTGCTCTGCTAGCTCAAAACAGAACAACAACAAAAACAATAAAAATACAAAATTAATAATCTCATCTATTCTGGATCATTCTGTAGGTAACATGTAGAAATGCAAGCCTAATACCATAAATATATTGACCATATTTTCATTGTCAGCATATTTTGTGTATCTCTTCATGAAAGAAGATACATAGTAAGTAATTTCTATGCCCCTTTCCCTGAGGTTATTTCTTAGTTCCTGTAATACACACATGAAGTATGTGTATTTAAAACTGCAACTTGTAAATTTCAGAATGTAGGCTCCTTTGCATTTCTGCATAAAATTCGAAGCATCTGTTAATTTCAAGGGGAAAAATCCTGCTGAAATTTCATTTGGAACTTTATTCCATCTATCCATCAGTCTGGAGCTCTTCAGTTGGTACCTCAATAGCACTGAGTATTAAAGTTATAACTCTAAATTTATTTGTCTTCTTTAATTCCTATTGAGTATGTCTTGTAGTTTATACTGTAAAGCATTAAAACATCTTCAATATATTTATAAATATTTAATATTCATGGAGTTCTTGGAAGTAGAAAATAGTATGTTATTTCATTTTTCTCTTATTTCAAAATACTAGACAAAATACATTGTTTTTTACATTAACCTTGGTTTGGGGATGTTAATTTATTTATTATTTTGTGGATTATTTAGAAATTGTGATAGCTGAATGTGGTAGCACATGCCTGTAATCCCAGCACTCAGGGAGGCTGAAGCAGGAGGATCACAAGTTCAAACGCGTCCTTGGCAAATTAGCAACTTAAAGACTTTGTCTCAAAATAGGAAATAAAAAAGTGCTGGAGAGATATTTCAACATGAAGGTCCAAGGACCAACCCCAGCAGCATGAACAAAAACATAGTGTATATGTACATACCACTATCTTATTAAAGAATTTTGAAGCTATGGTAAATAAGGATATTAGAAAATATATTGTTTTGTGACACTTGTCAGATCTTGATTTTAGATTATGTTTGGCTCATAAAATGCATTGGGATGTGTTATTTCATCTTATGTTTCCTAAAAGATGTTATTGCTTTCAGAATATCTGACAGAATTTATAAATAAAATTAATGTCTTCAGGGTAAATTTGTATATTTGTGAGGAAGACGAATGAGGAGGAAGTTTTATGATAGATTCCACTTTTTAATGCTTGGTTATTCAGCTTTTTTTTTTTTATAACATTTTGTATCAACGTCAAACAAAGTTTTTATGAATTTATCTATTTCAACTAAGTTGCCTTATTTTGACATCAAGAGTTCTACAATATTCTTATTCTCTTTGATATAAAGAAGATAAAGATAGCATATGCAAAACTCCCTTTAATTTCTGACACTGGTAATTAAGTTCTTTTCTCTCTAAGAGAACTTAATAGTTTACTGTTCTTTTCAAATAGCTAAAATTTAGTTCTTTGAATTGCTTCTATAATTTCTATTGTTTTGCCATTTCTTCTACTAGCTTATTTTCTTTATTCCTTATTTTGTATTTACTTTTATTATGGAAATGTTTGCTATTTTATATTGTATTTGAAGTATCCAAAGCTATAGCATCTCTCCCACATAATACCAATGATGTGTTGTATGTTCACTACCATTTATCTAAAAATATTTCCTCTTTTCCTTTGGCATTTCTTCTTTGACTCATAGATTGTTTTAGCTTGTATTGTATCATTTCCAACATGTGAGATTTTCTTGCAAATATTCTTGTTCATGTATGCGCATCTTATATTTTGTTACCTGAAAACAAAACATCATTCAGCCTTTAGCTACTTTCTTCAGTATACCTGTGTGATTGCACGCAATATGTCCAAGGCGGTAGGTAGTTGGATCTTGATTTTTAATAAGTCCTTTTCTCATAATTTTAGATTTTTAATTGTGATGCTTAATCTGTCAACATTCAATGTTCTGATTGACATGGTTAAGTTGGCTATTTCATTTCTGTTTTTCTCCTCTTTTACACATTCCTTTATTTTTCCCTTACTGGCTTCTTTTATTATTTTTTTACTGGCTTCTTTTAGATCTTTAGATTATTTGAGGTTTTTATTCATCTTTTCCACCTTGTCTACTGGCTGGGCATCAAGGGAGAGAGCTTAGGGATGCTAAATACAGGGTCAAACTCTGCCTGACAGAGTCTGGAAGCCAGTTTGAGCAGGCCTTTAAAATCCTTCTAGAAATTTGTTACACTGAGGTGGGGGGTCACATAGATGTCAAGGGTGTCCAGAAGGATCTCATAGAAAAATTACTTGAGGATGCTTAATGCCTGGCCAGGCATTATTCAGGGGCATCATTAGGTCCAAGGACTACTGAACCCAAGAGAGGGTCTGTGACAAAGGAGTAGAAATTGGATACTGCAGGGCTGGGGAGATAGCTCAGCAGGCTAAGCACCTGTCTAACAAACACAAGGACCCAGGTTTGATCCCCAGTACTGCATGCCTTGCTGGCCCCCCTGAACCCCAAGTGTACTGTGCTGGCCACCAAAACCAGGCATGATGGCACATGACTATAATCTTAGCACTGAGGAGGCTGAGACAGGATGATCACTACACATCTGAGCTGTGTAGTAAGACCCTGTACCAAGTAAATAAATAAATAAATAAAAGAATTTTAACAAGAAATTGGATACTGCACAAGGGAGTGGAAACTTACAGCAGAGGAGCAGGGTGGGATTAGTGCAGGGAAATTCCTGAGAGGAAACAGTGGTTGGGTGGAGTCTGGATAACCCAACTTGCCAGGGTTCTTGCTGAGGCCAGACCAGGGTGATTTGTCACCACCAGAGGGAAGATGGCGAATCAGAAACTTGATCACATCCCAGAGATGGGGACTTCCGGCTAAACGGACTTAGTGTGATTCTTTTGCTCAAACAGGACTTGAGAAGTCCTTAGAAAGACCTAGGAGAAAGTAAGAAGCCTGATTAACATTTGGTCAAAGAAATGATTGTTTTCAAGGATGAGAGAAACATAGGCAAATTTAAAGACTGCAAAATACCTTGGTGTTTATTTACCGTAAGGAAACTTGAACTCAGAATTTTAACAATCATGTTCTCAGAATTTATTAAAAAATTCCTTAGTACACTTACCCCAACACTATCTAAGCAGTCACTGAAATGCTGCATCACTTGTGATCGTCTATGGGCCGAGCACATTGGCACTGTATATACGAATGATAAAGAGTAGAATTTCACATGGTATGTTATTGTATACAAACTTCTTAAAATTTATGCATTGTGATTTATTTTCTAAAAATGCAATTATAGTCCTTCTGTTTCCAGAGAATTGGAATTTGCTCTAATTTTTCCTACTCCAAGATTTTCACATTCACTATGAGTAATTTACAAAATACCACTTTGCTAAAACTGCTACAATCTTTTTCTGTCATCTTTATACAATGATTAAGTGTAGAGATGGAGGGAAGGGAGAGGAAGGAAGGGCAAGAAATTTTTTAAGAAAAGGAGTTGATAAAAATGGAAATGAAGTTTTTGCAAATGGGGAGGGGAAGAAGAGTTGGTAGAAAGAGGGGAGGGGAAAGGCGACAAAATAGAATTAAGATGTGTTATGCACATGAACAAACTGCCCACAGTAAATGTAATTATTACGTCCTGTGGATGTGTACTAATCAAATTTTTTTAAAGGTAAAAATGTTTTCTCTTCTTAGCAGGAAATACTTTGCTGAGATTTGAAGGCAGCGTGGATAGCTTTCTGCCATATTTTGGTTGTATCCGTTAGATTTGTAGAATGAGTAAATGTCACCACTTCTCTGCCTCCTTTTCCAGAGGATTCCTAGGCTCAAATTACAGTGAAACATTCTACACCATACAAGGAGAAATACTCACCAGGCATCCTCAGATCACGGTAACTTCAAGAAGCTTCCTGCACTGTTTCTAAGGACCTGCTATTTCCTGATGTGATTTTGAATCTCAATCCTAGCTTTACAAATTTCTCAGAAAAGTTTTAGGTTGCAAGTGACTTAATGAATGCTGACAGTGGAGAAAATATGATCCTGTGCGTGCTAAGGGAAGGGACCACAGCACGCTGATGACGGCAGTGGGTCTTCTTGGCTGCTGCTACCCCATAGTGTTAAGTGGAAGCAGACTGAAGTAGGACTCCAGCGAGCTGTGTCCAGTGCCCTTGCGGCCGTGTAGAGCAGGGGCATGAACATCCAAGCATAGGAATTCAATCTGAAATCCCCTTCCAGTGGGTCCATGTAGGCGTTTGCCACCCCTGCCCAGTTCCTCTGGTGCACCAACATTAGGGACTCTCCTTCATTCTCCACCAAGCTTTGTATCTATCATTAATGTTATTTCTGTGGCTACTGAGTTTGTTTTACTTCTCATTCCCCTTTCCAGAACATGCTTTTGCAGTCTTTTAACTAAAAACAGGATTACTCCTGCTTGCAGTTTTCTTTTTTAATAATGGAGTACTACTCAGCCATAAAGAAGAATGAACTAGAGATTTTTATAGGTCAATGGATGCAACTTGGGAGCATACTCTTAAGTAAAAATAATCAAACTCATGTGTATAAACATTGTATTATCTAACTAGCTTGAGAAACTGGATGAGCAAATAAGATCCAAGATGTACAATAGATATGGTGAATTGTGAAGAAACTTAAAAAGAAAAGACAAACTGTAATGGAGGAAAGGAGAAAGGCAGAAAGGGAAAAAGAAAAATATATATTTTACACAAGATAATTAGAATAGTTTCATAGCTATTTTCTCTTAATTCATTAAAAAGAAAGGTTAGTGCTAATATTGTTTGAACAAGACACCATGTTTATATCTTTTATTCTAAATAACTACTACAAAGACAATAATACACAATCTATTAATTATTTTAACTCTCCTACTCAACTTGTTTTGAAACTTTGTTTTATTGTTATTTGTCTATTTAAAATAAAGATAAATATATGGCAATTATAATAAAACATAATAGAAAAGGTTGAGTCAAAGAGAAACATTCTGAAAGTTAAGGAAGTGGTTGATCACATCCTTTAAAAAATAACTTCAACATATGGAAAATGAATTAAGTTTTTTTCTGTATACAACAAAAACCTGCTTGCTCTCTGCATTTTAACTACTGCTCTCCTGTTTAAACAAATATCTAATCAGAGAAATGTGTGCCTCAAATGCTCAGATCAGCAAGATGATCCCTTTGCTCAGTTCCGCTGTGAGCTCCCTTCCTTCCTAGCCAGCTCCTCTAAAGCACTTCACAGTAAAGCTCTATCTCTGCTGTCTCCCCGTTTGTCCTCTGTTCAGAGTGTCAGTTGGATTCCACATAGTTTTAGAAAACAATAGCACTTTTGGCTAACTGTATGCCAACATATCTGTTAGAGAACTAAGTGAGCCATCCATATTCTCTTCTAACTGCTTAAATTTATGTTTGACATGGTTCATAACAAAGTCACTAAGTAAGCCTGAACTGCATTTATAAATGGACCATTAAAAATACAGACATATTCAATAAAGAAAACCCATGAATTAGTGAAAACAAACAAACAAACAAGAACAGCAAGTAGAAGTAGTGAGGATTCCAACTTGACTGAAGCCAAGAGGCAGGAGTGAAAGGTGTGAAGAGCGCTGGCTGCAAAGACAAGGTAGCTTTAGGAATCAGCAAAAACCCGCCTTGATGTCATAGGCAACTGGGGACCTTCTAGTATTAGTGTAAAAGAACTGGTTTGGCAAGGATCTTAGGATGGATTAAGGAAGTAAGATTTGTAAGCAAAAAGATCCCTTGTCTGACACTAGCATCAGCACCCAACAGACTCAAGTTTATGAGGAAAGGATCCATACATTGCTTTACACAAAGTAATCCATAGTTAAGAGGAAAGATCTCCAGGCTCAAATATCCACAAATAAGAGCAGGCAATGAATGCAGGCATGGAAAACTGTATAACACAGCAGAATAACGTACCGGTATATTCTGAACAAAAATAATTTGATACTAATATCTACATAACATAAATATGTAAGCTTACCTTAAGAGGCTCTTCTGGTATTTTAGGACCACTGCTTTTATCAAGGATCCGTTATACATGAACTTGACTCCTCTGCGAGCATCAGCACCTGCAGTGGTCTGTGGTAAGCGGAGTATCTCCTCATTTCTTTACTTTGGTATGGACTTGAAATATGTTCAGTTGATTTGCTTCTTTTACTCAGCCTGTAAATAGAAGAAATAATGAAGAAAGAGCAGCCATCTATTTTCAGCAGTAGGTATGAACTCTAGCCCATGATCTATGTTTGTCAAAAATGTCTAGCACACAGTCCTTGGCAAGATGCATTTTGCTGTATATAACCAAGGATCTCAGGTGGAGGATTGCTGAACATCAGCCAACCTGTGCTCGTATGTTAGAAATCAAGACACTGGAATCAAAGACCCGCTCCTGAGTATTTACTCTTCTATGATAGAACTGAATCCAAATCTAAGTTCCTTGATCGCCACTTCTGTGACTTTTCACCACACCAGAATGCTGTAGTCATTTAGCTTTTTATGAATTAGTCTGCATTTTTGACTTTTAGAAAGTAAAACCAATCAAGCATTATTTATTACTTCTTTATAGATCTTGTATTCAAGAATGAAGGAGGAACATGTCTAAAGATAGGTAGGAAGACACGGAACTTCTCTTATGAGGCCTTCCTTTGAATAGTTCACACCATTTTCAGAAATGAGAACCACTTTAGTGACAAAAATACCCATAGTAATATTTGTAAATACCTATAGTAATACCCACATTACCCATGGTAATATTTTTACAACTACTGCACTAATGACAAATTTATAAACATTTTACAAGTGCCCTAGGCAAACATAGGTGGGGATTGTTACTATATTTCAACTCATAGCCAAAATTCGACTGTCAGAATACTTCTGAAAAATTGATATAAACTGACTCTTAGAAAAAGCTGTAAGATCCAGTGAGATAGCTCAGTGGATTAAAGCACCTACATAGGCAGATGCAGGGCCCGGGGTTTGATTCCCCAGAGTGCAGTGTTGGCCCCACCCCAGGGGTGCGCTGCAACAGTGATTGAGACTGGGCATGATAGCATGTGCCTGTAATCCCAGGAGGCTGGAAACAGGAGGATCACTCTGAGTCCAATCTGTGTAGTGAGATCCTGTAAACCCTGTCCTAACATTGAAAAAAAGAAACAAAAAGCCATGGATTCAGTGAAATGAGATGATATATCATTTCATTTATCACTCAAAACACTCACCTACAGCCGGGGAGATAGATCAGTGGAATAAGTGCTTGCCTGTCAAGTGCAAGGTCCTGAGTTCAATCCCTGGTACCACCAACAAACAAACAAACAAATAAACAAAACAAAAAGCAAAAACAAGCAAAAGAAATGTATGGTGAAATCCTGTCTGGGGCTGGGGATATGGCTCAATAGAATAAGCACTTGCCTGGCAAGTTCAAGGGCCTGAGTTCAATCCCCGGTTCTGCAAACAAACAAACAAACAAACAAAAAAACACTCACCTACAATCTTATCTGGTCTTGTCCTTATAGTTTCCCTTTCTTGAAAAGTTAAAGTTCTAAAAACTCAAACCATTATATATCTTGAATACACACTGTGTTCCAATTTCCACAGGGGATTCTTCAGAGTAAGAGATCAAAGGTATCTTATTGAACCAGTGAAATTCTCTGTTGAAGGAGAGCATTTGTTGTTCAAATATAACCCGAGGGTGCCGTATGCTGTCAATTATTCTTGTGCAGAGCTCAATTTAACCATGAAACCTGTTCCAAAAGATACTAAATATAAGGAAAACCACAAAGTGGAGGTGAGTACTCTCTTTTTCAGACCTCTTCATTGCAAGTAAAATACCTCTCATTTCTTTTATGACCTTAAGAGAGACAATCCATCCAGCTAGTGAAATGTATGTGCTGCTTTGAATCTGATGCTGCACTGTTTGAAATTTTAAGTTCAAACTTCTGTTTCATATCTGTTAGAAAGTGTACACTGACTACAGTCAACCAATGTGCTCCATCCATGGGAGAAACTGGAGCTGTCAACACACCTCCATGTATGGCATCAGGACTCTGTGACTTGAAGAGTGGAATTTGCAGGGCCCTGAAATCTGTCCTACACATTGTCATTTCTTGTCTTCCCTGTATGTTTGTGGAAGTGGTCGAATACAAGCTTTTCATCAGGCCAACTTATTCTAGTGGTTAAACTAAGGATAAAAGCAATTGTCATGTGCAGAGTCCGGTATGTGTGAGGCCTTTCTGCACAACCAGGTTCACTTTTGAACTATATGTTTCCATATCTTCTTCACATGGTCACAGTCTAGATAGTTTCTGACACATACTGATGTCTACTAATTATTTCTTGATTGACTAATTCAGTAAATAAATAATTATTTTTAAATGATTGTGTCAGTTGAAAAATATCTCCCTGGTTTGTCCTCAGGGTATATACCTGCACTTCCATATGTTTGCTGATGCTGAAAACTTAGAACAATATCCTGCTATTTCTGTTTTCTAAAGAACTTGACCTACAACCATCAATATTTATTTGGTTTTTTTTTTTTTTTGAATTGAGACTTCGAGGTTGAAAGGCATAAATAGAAGGAATAGTTAGTATGATCCGTCAGTTCAATTTCAACTTTTAGTTGTAGAGGGAAGCTTTTGACCTGAGCTTAGTTACAAAACATGTGGTTTGCAAATGAAGAAAATACCCTAATAACTGATTAATTATTATTTTTAACTTTTCTTTGATCTCAAAGACCACACAAGTAAAGAAAATGTAGTCAAAAATTTACTGTTACTTCAGGATTATTAGTGTATGACATGTGGAGTCACACATCTGACCACTGGCTTATGTAGATTCATAGACTGATTAAATGGGCATCCACATTTGCTTCACCTTCCTATCGCAATAGTACTAGCATTACTAACCTTGGAACAGTCAGGTATTTTCCAGCTTAAACATTAAAGTCAAAAATATTAACATGCTCCATTCAATTTTCCATAAATTTCCAGGGAAATCATAAGGAAAAGTATATTGAACTGTTCATTGTTGCCGATGAGTATGTGGTAAGTTTTCAGATGAACATTTTGATTTTTTTTTTTTTTTTGGCATACTTATAAAACCCTAGCGATTCCAAACTAGGCAAAAGATATCCTGATTGGAGTTCCCTGCTAGGCTCAAACTTCTGGCTTTAGTTTCCCCAAATAGATGAATACAAGAGACTCTTGGGTCTTTGAACTGCGAAGGAGACTAACTCAAACTAGAACTGTCTACCTCCTTACAAAGTTTTGGAAGTGTCGCACAACATCTAAGAAATGGAAAATACATCAACAGTTTATAGTTGACCTCAAAAGCACCTGAAAATTTTCAAATGCTAAAGACTAAAAAGAAAGTCTCACGACAGGAAGTAAAATTCAAAGGACTGGTGACCAGTGATGGATAAAATACAGACTTAGGATTTTGAGGAATTAAATGTTGCAGAGTAAAAAACTGACATTTCCGAATGAGTCCTCTGTGCATTGCCAGAGCCATAAAGCACTGCATCCTTCCTGAAAAGGAAACCGTGAAAATCCATGGAAGCTGCAATAGCTAAGGGAAATGCCTGCCTGCCTGCCTGCAGGCGGGCAGGGGAAATGTCACCATGGGGGACTCTCTACGCCTGTGCGTTGTGCTGATACAGAGCATGACCGTGTATTTTTTTGGGTGCCAACATGCCAGGCAAGGCTTTTAGCCTAAAAACTGATGAATGAGTGGCAAACAAGTGGAACCCAGATCAAAAATGCCCCAAAAGACAGTAAAATAAGTCAAAAGAAAGTGAATCACATCAGGAAGACTAAAACAATGTAAGGAAAAGGAGCCTACCAGGAACTGTACAGCAAACAGTGATGTTTAATGTTGTTCTATACAATGCAGTTGAGGTTCTAAGTTACCGACGTTATAAAAATAAGTAGAAATTAGCAAAATATAATGAGAAGAGACTAGGAAAAGTAACAAGCATACTTGAAAAGTTGTTTTAACATCTTCCACAGGAAACAGCAGATATCCTTGAATGAGATAAATAGGAAATTAGACGCGGTGAAGGAAGAATCAGGGGCTTGCAGGATGGAGGGGTTGGAACTAGGCTAGCTAAGGAGCATAGAGAAGTAAAGTTAGAAACTCTGATAGAAAGGGCCATCCAAATAGCTCAGTGGATTAAAGCACCTGCAAGCAGCCCCAGGGGCCAAGGGTTCCATCCCTGACCTGCAGCCTCGTGTCAGGGCGTGCTGAGACTGCAATTGAGAATGGGTGTAGTGGTGCAAGCCTGTAATCTCAGCTCTTGGGAACAGGTGGGACACTATGAGTGTGATCTAGTAGTGAGACTCTGAACACCCTATAGACCCTTCCCTAAAATACAAAAAAAAAAAAAATCCTCTGATAGAAAAGAAGAGACATTAAATGCTGAATAAAAAGGTGAATATGAGTCATTGGTTGACAGATCATGTTTTCATAATTCCTGAGAACACATTCTTCAGTTAAGAGATGATGTAAGTTTCTAGACTATACATTTAAAAGGTAACAAAAATACTTCTAAAATTTGGTACTATCAGGCCAGAAGAATAGATGGGTTAAAAGAAGACATTACACCTAAAACATAGATGTTAACAAAGCTGGAAAGATGAACGGAGAAAACAGAGCGTAACTGTGCATTCTGAGCACCGATCTCTTACTCTAGGGTTGACAGCAGGCGTGCAAGGCTCACACTCAGTCCTGCCCAGCCTCTCTGGTGGGAAGTAACTGGCTGATAAATTACCTTACTCCTGTGACCCCCGAGATAAGGTTAGCGCCTTTCGCTGTCCTGTACACTCTACTGTCCCTACCAAGTAATCAACAGGAATGCTGGAGGAGGCCTATTTTCCTGGTGGGAAAAAGAGGACCCCATAATAAATCACTAGGAGTGTGTGAGGTTAGAGAAAGAAAAGTATTAAGCAGTTTCTTAAAAGAGAAAGTGATCAGTATTAAGTGTGGACAAGACAACCAGAAAGGTGTGAAAAAAGTGATATAAGTGTGTACCTAAAGACACACTTGGGGGCTGGAGATTTAGCTCAGAGGTAGAACACTTGCCAAGCAAGCTGGGGGCCCTGGTTCAGTCCTTGGCACCAAAACCAAATAATTTTTTTTTTTTTTAAATTTGTTTTCATATTTAGTACTGGGTCTCACTACATGGATCAGACTAGTAGTGATCCTCCTGTTTTCACCCTCCCAAGAGCTGGGATTACAGGCACGCACCACCGTGCCCAGTCTCAGTAGCCCTCTCAGTGTGCCCTGGGGGCAGGGCCTGCACAGCATGCTGTGATTTTTTTTTTTTTTAAAGAGCACATTTGTGAATTATTACTGGTGGTTTTAAAAGAACAATAGTAATTGAAATCAAAGAATGATGAGTGGATAGAAGCTATAAACTGAAAAGATGATAATGCCGTGTTTGGAATCACTTAGATATTTAAAATATCAGGAGAGCAATGGGGTTGTAACTAGAGGATTCCTACAGGATTCAGGAAAAGCATGTTTATTTTTCATTTACATCATAGAAGTTTGACCACGTGCATATGTGCTTAAAGCATATATTCTGTTATTCAGTATATTTAGCTGATAATTCTTAGCAACATGCTAATAGTACCAAAAGGGAATTAGGCTAAAAAGAGAGAACTATATTCAGAGTAGTGTAGCAAGTCATTTTGTCTTCTGAACTTTGATTGGAGAGCAGGAGAAACTGCCCTTCTGTCCCTCTCGAGCGCATCTCTGGCTCCAGGCGTTTGATGATCCTGTGTTTTATCCTTTGAGCCACTGTAGGCTCAGGAAGGGAGGAGAAGCGTGTCTATTCACAGCATCATGTTTAGTATAGAGATTTAGTAAGTGTTGTGTCAAGGTAACAAAGCCCTCTATGGAGCACCAATCAATTGGCTTAATTATTACTGCAATGAAGTAGAGTGAAATGTCAAAGAGGACAACCAAATTTAGAAACAAAACCCTAATGTGTTACTGAGTTAAAATATGTCTTCAATGCCTGCCTGGCAAGCGCAAGGTCCTGAGTTTGATCCTTGGCAACAAAAAATAAAATATAATGTGTCTTCACATTATAGACAGCTCCATTTAGTTAATATTAAAAAAAAAAAAAAACAATCTCAGCAGGGCACGGTGGTATATGTGTGTAATTCCGGCTACTCAGCAAGTGAGGGCAGGAGGATAACAAGTTGGAGACCTATCTGGGGAAGCTTAGTGAGACACTGCCTAGAGACCAGTGATGTTGTCACTGTAGTATCCAGGTTCGCCTGTACTGAGAATAAAAATCCCTCCATATGTCATCAGGTCTTAGACATCTTCATTCTTCTTTCTTCATCATACAATGCATTTTTTTTCTTTGTAATATCATGTAATGGGTGAGGTATTTTGTTGAGCTTTAACTCAGTTTATATCATTAATGAATTTTGGTGTGATATTTTTATTTCCAGTACCGCAGGAATAGTAATCCTCACTATAAGCTACGGAGAAGAATTTGGGGAATGGTAAATTTTCTCAACATGGTAAGGATCCACATAATTTAAATGAAGTGAAAATACAAATGCAGACAAATGTTAATATTAGCCCTCTGCTGGACTTTGAGTTAACTTTGATTCTGAGGTGGCCCAAACTCCAGAGCCTCGCCAAGAAAACTAATAAACGAAGTTCTGATGAAACATAATAGCATCGAGCTACATGTCTGATGTTTTCATAGTGAATTCCACATACTATTTAGATAAGTTTCAAATACTGTGCTTTCATTACAAAACTTATGAAGCAATGTGCAAAGAATTTGAAAACCAACAATGTTCAGGCTAAATCTCACTTTTCTAAACCAGGGGTCTATGACCTTATATAAACTGCTTCAAGCCGTAACTTATTAGCCACGATTTGGGTTAAAAATGAAGGTAACTATTTCAGTAAAATCTCTGAAAATTATTAATGACTTTACATTTTAATAAAGTGCGCTCCTTTAAAACAAATTCTGAATTGCACATATACTTCTTTGCCCAGTCCTGAGCTGTCGCACACCCGTGCCCTACTTACGACCAGGATGAAGAGGTACCATAGGAAGGTGCTACAAGGAATGTCCTCTCCAGGGTAAAAGTGGCTTGTTAAACCCTTGAAGGACATTTAACCTATTTGTAGCTTTTGCTACTCTAAATACAACTACTTTAAATATATACATAGGGACATAGGTATGAACATACATTTGCATTTATTTTATGTAAACAACTAATGATTGGTCAAATGGACTATGTATACTTTTTTGGCTGCTTCCTTGAAGTATTCATATAATTTATTTAGATGTTTTCATTCCATTAAAACTATTTCTAAAGTCCCTTGTGGCCTTCTCTTTGATTCAGTAGTAACAGACAGTATTGCTTAATTTTCAAATAGAGATTTCTTGTATATTTTTGTAAATGATTTTGAATTGTTATTCCATTAGAACTAGAGAATGTGTCTTGTTTAATTTCAATTCTTTTGATTGTTTGAGGCTCATTATATGGTTCAGAATCTGGTTCATGTGTAGTTAATAAAACAGATAAACACATAAAAGATCATTCTGATATGGACAAACAGAATTTTCTATAATTCCATTCTATGGAATTTTCTAAAATGTCAGGTATGGCAACTTAATTGTTATTTTCTTGATTTTTTGTTTTTATTAATTTTGTGATTTAAGGAGATAAAAAGATTTAAACCCAACTGTGATGGTGGGTGTGTCTCTCTTCTGTTTCGTGTTTGTGAAGCTCTTGCTATTAGATGCAGGTGCGTCAGCTCTGCACGTCTTCTTGGCTTGACCCAGTTATAGTTGTCCTCTTTCACTGCTGTGCATGTTCTTGGCTCTTAAGTATACTTTGATACTAATAGACCCATTTCATTTGATTTGTATTTTCATGGTAGCTATTTTGCTATTTTTACTTTTACCTTATTGTTGTTCTTATATTTGAAGTCATGTTCTCATAGATGGCAGATTTTCTTTCATAAAATCTGATGATTTCTGTGTTTTAATTGGTGTAGTTACGTGGTTTACATTTGCTGTCATTATTGATTTCTTTTTGTTTCCTTTCTCCTTTGTCCTGCCAGCTTTGGAATAGGCTATGTTTTATTAGTACACATTTGCAGTAGGTGCAGGTTACAGTCATCTTGGGGAAAAAGTACATGCACAGGACACAGCTTGATTCTTGTATCCCCTTCCCTCGCACCTTCCACCCCCAATTTTTGTTCTTCTTAATATTTTTGATTGTTTCAGTTATTCTTCTCTCATTGCTCAGATGAGCACCCAATGCTCAAAATGAAGAAAAGAAAGATCTATTTAGCTCGCAGTTATAGTTTCAGCCCATACTCAGCTGGCTACAAGGCAACCTGGCACATGGCAGAGCACCTTTTCATGGCAGCAGCAAAGAGCAAGAGCAAAAGGGAGGAGGAGCAGCAACAACAGCGACAGGGAGCAAGTCTGTCTCCCTGAAGCCGCATTCAGGCTACACACCCCAGGCTGGGTGTAGCACTCACACTCATAATCCCAGGGGAGCAAGAGCTAATCACAAACTCTAGAAGTCCACCCCATGACTGCATGGGGCTCTGGGGGGACAACTAGACACAAGCCATAACATTCTATCTCATAGTGAACTGAGTAGTTTTGATCATTCTGTTTTTATCTATATCACTGGATCATTAAAAAAACTTCATATTTAATCACAGATTCACAATATATATTTAAATAAAATACAGTCTAACTTCAAAAAGCATTATACCAATACACAGATAGAAGTAACCTACAGCATACTCTAAATTCTCCCAGCAGGCCCGCCAAATAGCTCAGCAGATCAAAGTGCCTGCAAGCAGGCACAGGGGTGGGGGTTCGATCCCCAGGGCACTGGTGCTGGCTCTGCCCTCAGAGCGCACTGAGACAGTAATTGAGACTGGGCATGTAATCCCAGCTTTTGGGAGGCTGTAAACAGGCGGATCGCTATGGGTCTGATCTAGTAGTGAGACCCTGAACACTCTGTAGACCCTTCCCTAAAATACAAAATAAATAAATAATAAATAAATTATTTCTCCAAGCCTTCTCTCATGATATTTTCATATATATTATTCAAAAATTTTTACTGTTTCAAAAGATTATATATATACATATATCTTATATTATATGTAATATATATGTGTACATATATAATATATATACATATATATTATATATAAATATATATATATTTTATATATATATATTTCAAACATAGTTTCTCCTATTATTGGCATTTCAAATTTATTTGATACTACTGCAACAATTGATAAAATGCTAACATGCTCATCAAAGGCATACAGTCTCTGCTACCAACACATTATGTACTCAGTACAAATAATTAAAATTTTCTTTGTTTTAAACTGACATTCTTTTTCTGTCCCAGATGCCGCCCAGTATACCACGTATCTAATCCTCATGTTTCCCAGACTCTTGACTGTGATAGGGTTTCAGGCTTTGTTTTTACTTAATGGCCTTGAGAGCTTTTAAGAGTGCTTGTCCTATTTTGGAATCCTGAGATATTTTCTTACAATCTGAAGATTATGGTTTTCTGGAGGAAAACCGCAGAGTTAAGGGCCCATTTTCGTCATGGGCAATGATTTATCACTAATGATCTTGACCTGGGTTGCCTGCCTGGAGGAAGTGATGGCTTTTAGGTTTTCCCATGGTAGAGTTACTCATTTTTCACCTCTTACCCTTCCCTGTACTTTGGAAGAACGTCACTGTGTGCAGCTTACCCTTCAAGTATGAGGAGTCATGCTGTCTCTCTTTGAAGTGGAGTATATACATGTACAGTTATTGGAATTCTTCTTCACAGGAGATTTATTTCTTTTCTCTCATTAATATATTTGTTTGATTATTTATTTATATAGGCATAAAATTGTAGATATTTATTTACTCTTTGAGTTCCCATTTAATACTATTCTATTTTGTTATTCAAATTCTTTCGGATTTGACCGTTGGATAATATTTTTCTTAGTTTATGTACTGCTCTGGCATATCTCAATCAAAGTGTGTGTGCCTGGCTTTTATACTGCTTAGATTCTCTGAGCTCCTGGGATCTCTGATTTAATGTTTTCTATTGCTTTAACATGTTTTAAAGTGCTTCTTTTGCATTATTATCTATTATATCTATTATACATATGTGAAAGTTTTATGCTTTGTGTACACACATGTA